CCCCCCCCCCCCCCCCCCCCCCCCCCCCCCCCCCCAAATCCATAATAACCGGGGCTTACACCCAAAGACAGGTGGCTCGTATTAAAACATTTTTTTGGCTTGCGTTCCAAGGAAAACACAGTTTGTTGTCTCGGCCGTTGTTTTCCCTGAAAGCCACGCCACGCCATCGAGAATCCCAACCTTTTTATTTTTAAAACTCAACTCTTTCAATTTTTTTTTTCCTGTATTTATTTTCGTGCATGATCCCCGAGATCCAAAGGCACGCATCGCAACAGCAGCGATCCGTCTTCTTCTTGTTTACTCTCGAGTACTTCGCAGTACCTCGGACCCTCTCCCTCCACAGATAGAATAAATATTTTCTTAAATTCCTTTTAAATATTTATTTAAATTCCTTTTCTTTTCCCCCCACGGATCCTTCCTCGCATTCAGTTTTTAATTAGTCACGACGAACCAAGTGTTGAAAGAAAGTTTGACGAGAAAGAAAATTGCACAAATCGAGATTTGAGACTGGTAAACTTATCTCGAGTGGTAACTCACCTTGAGTCGCCAATTACCCCGAATGGTAACTTACCCTGATAAGCAGTATGTTGTTGCCCTGCATGTTTAATTAGGATATAAAATTTACCACTTGTGACCTCGAAAGTGACAGGCCATGAATTGAAATGAAACTGAAATGGAACTGAAATGGAACTGAAATGGAACTGAAATGATATTAAAGCGACAAGTTTTAGCTTCTAAAAACCGAAGATGCAGGACAAGAAAAAGTGAAACAGTGGAAACATCGAGTGGAAACATACCTCAGGGCTCAGGGTATGCTTCCACTCGATGTAAGTTTACTCTAATTATCAATGGGTTAATTTAAGAAAAAATGGAAGTAATAATTTAATTTGTGCAATTCAATTTGTGGAAGTAATAATTTAATTTTCCTTCTGAGGAAAATATCCCCCAGAGTTGGTTACTTCATGAATATTTGCACGCAGAAAAGGCACTAGAGCGATCCAGCGAAATTGGGGGGGGGGGGGGGGATTGTTTA